AGGACCCTCAGCACCCATAGGAAGCCAGCAGCACCCATAGGCACCCAGCAGCACCCATGGGGACCCAGCAGCACCCATAGGGACCCTCAGCACCCATAGGCACCCAGCAGCACCCATGCCCCACCTCAATGACGTCCTGCTTGGCCTTCTTGATGGTGTTCTGGATGTCCTGGTAGGTTTTGGCGTCGGCGATGGAGTCCCCAATGCCGATGGTGTGCCCTAGACATGGGGGGCACGGGGGTCAGTGGGGCGCCCAGTGGGTCCAGAGACCCCCATGTCCATGGGGTGCACCCTAAATGGGGTCCAGAGACCCCCAGATCCATGGGGTGCACCCCAAATGGGGGGCCAAGACCCCCAGGTCTATGGGGTGCACCCTAAATGGGGTCCAGAGACCCCCAGGTCTATGGGGTGCACCCTAAATGAGGTCCAGAGACCCCCAGGTCTATGGGGTGCACCCTAAATGGGGTCCAGAGACCCCCAGGTCTATGGGGTGCACCCTAAATGGGATCCAGAGACCCCCAGGTCTATGGGGTGCACCCTAAATGGGGTCCAGAGACACCCATGTCTATGGGGTGCACCCTAAATGGGGTCCAGAGACCCCCATGTCCATGGGGTGCACCCTAAATGGGGTCCAGAGACCCCCAGGTCTATGGGGTGCACCACAAATGGGGCCCATAGACCCCCATGTCTATGGGGTGCACCCCAAATGGGGTCCAGAGACCCCCAGGTCTATGGGGTGCACCCTAAAGGGGGTCCAGAGACCCCCATGTCCATGGGGCCCACCCCAAATGGGATCTCAGACCCCTCTGAGGACCCTATGTCCCCATTGCCCCCCATATCCCCATTGCCCCCATAGCACTCATTGGCCCCCATTGGCCCCATTGCCCCACACTGGCCCCATATCCCCATTACCCCCCATTGCCCCCCATTGACCCCCATGTCCCCATTACCCCCATTGCCCCCCACGTCCCCATTAACCCCACAGCACCCCCTGGCCCCCATGTCCCCAATGCTCCATTAAACCCATTCCCCCTTTCCCCCCATTAACTCCATCACCCCCCATGTCCCTCATTGCCCCCCATGTCCCCATCACCCCCATTGTCTCCATCAGCCCCACGTCCCCATTGCCCCCCATCACCCCCATGTCCCCATCACCCCCATGTCCCCATCACCCTCCACGTCCTCACCACCCCCCATGTCCTCATCACCCACATCACCCCCATCTCCCCATTCCCCCCATCACCCCCCATGCTCCCATTGCCCCCCACCACCCCCATCACCCCCCATGTCCCCATCACCCCCATTGCCTCCATTGCCCCCCATATCCCACTCAGCCCCCATGTCCCCATCACCCCCCATCACCCCCACGTCCCCATCACCCCCCATGTCCCCATCACTCCATTGCTCCCCATCACCCCCCACGTCCCCAACACCCCCATTGCCCCCCATGTCCCCATCACCCCCATTATCCCCATCACCCCCATCACCCCATTGCTCCCCATCACCCCCACGTCCCCATCACCCCCATGTCCCCCTCACCCCCATCACCCCCATTACCCCCATCACCCCATTGCTCCCCATGTCCCCCCCATGCCCGGTGCCCGGCGCTGACCCTCGATGAGGAGCCAGTTGTTGATGACGGTCTGGATGTTGCTGTAGAAGAGGCGCGTGGTGTCGTGGCCCATCTCCAGGTAGGAGATGTGCACCAGGGACCCGGCCGACGTCCCCAGGGACTTCTTGCACAGGATGCCCATGATGAGCTCCCCGTTCTCCACGATCACCTGCGGGGGCACCCATGGCACACAGGGGTGACACAGGGGTGACACACAGCACCCATAGCACCCATGGGTGACACACGGCACCCATAGCACCCACAGCACCCAGGGGTGACACACAGCACACATGGCACCCACAGCACCCATGGGTAGCACCCAGCACACACAGCACCCATGGGTGACACACGGCACACATGGCACTCACAGCACCCAGGGGTGACACATGGCACCCACGGCACCCACAGCACCCATGGGTGACACACAGCACACACAGCACCCATGGGTGACACACGGCAGCCATAGCACCCAGGGGTGACACATGGCACCCATAGCACCCACAGCACCCAGGGGTGACACATGGCACCCATAGCACCCAGGGGTGACACACAGCACACATGGCACCCACAGGTGACACACAGCACCCATGGGTGACACACAGCACACACAGCACCCACGGGTGACACACAGCACACACAGCACCCAGGGGTGACACACAGCACACACAGCACCCAGGGGTGACACATGGCACCCATAGCACCCAGGGGTGACACACAGCACACATGGCACCCACAGGTGACACACAGCACCCATGGGTGACACACAGCACACACAGCACCCACGGGTGACACACAGCACACACAGCACCCAGGGGTGACACATGGCACCCATAGCACCCACGGGTGACACACAGCACACACAGCACCCAGGGGTGACACACAGCACACACAGCACCCAGGGGTGACACACAGCACACACAGCACCCATGGGTGACACACAGCACACACAGCACCCATGGGTGACACACAGCACACACAGCACCCAGGGGTGACACATGGCACCCATAGCACCCAGGGGTGACACACGGCACACACGGGTGACACACAGCACACACGGCACCCACAGGTGACACACAGCACACACAGCACCCATGGGTGACACACGGCACACACAGCACCCATGGGTGACACACGGCACACACAGCACCCATGGGTGACACACAGCACACACGGCACCCAGGGGTGACACATGGCACCCATAGCACACACAGCACCCGGGGTGACACACGGCACCCATAGCACATACAGCACCCATAAATAGCACCCATAGCACCCAGGGGTGACACATGGCACCCATAGCACACACAGCACCCAGGGTGACACATGGCACCCATAGCACCCAGGGGTGACACATGGCACCCATAGCACCCACAGCACCCAGGGGTGACACACGGCACCCATAGCACCCAGGGGTGACACATGGCACCCATAGCACACACGGCACCCAGGGGTGACACATGGCACCCAGGGCACCCATGGGTGGCACCCAGCACCCATGGCACACATGGCACCCACGGGTGACACACAGCACACACAGCACCTATGGGTAGCACCCACAGCATCCATGGGTGACACTCGGCACACATGGCACCCATAGCACCCACAGCACCCATAGCACCCACAGCACCCAGGGGTGACACACGGCACACATAGCACCCATGGGTGACACATGGCACACACAGCACCCATGGGTGACACACGGCACACATAGCACCCATGGGTGACACACGGCACACATAGCACCCATGGGTGACACATGGCACCCACAGCACCCATGGGTGACACATGGCACACACAGCACCCATGGGTGGCACCCAGCACCCTCAGCACCCCCAGGGCCACTGAACCCCTTCAGACCCCCCCCACACCCCCGTTCTGCCCCCCAACCTCGGTGTCCCCGGGTGAGATGTGCTTGTAGGGCCCACCCCACATCCGCCCCACATCCCCACACCCCTGTTCTGCCCCCTAACCTTTGTGTCCCCAGGTGAGATGTGCTTGTAGGGCCCGCCCCACATCCCACACCCCACATCCCACCCCACATCCCGCCCCCTAACCTTGGTGTCCCTGGGTGAGATGTGCTTGTAGGGCCCGCCCCACATCCGCCCCACATCCCCATTCTGCCCCCGAACCTTTGTGTCCCCGGGTGAGATGTGCTTGTAAGGCCCACCCCACATCCCGCCCCCTAACCTTTGTGTCCCCAGGTGAGATGTGCTTGTAGGGCCCGCCCCACATCCCACCCCACACATCCCCACCCCACATCCCGCCCCACATCCCACCCCCTAACCTTGGTGTCCCCGGGTGAGATGTGCTTGTAGGGCCCGCCCCACATCCCCACCCCACATCCCGCCCCCTAACCTTGGTGTCCCCGGGTGAGATGTGCTTGTAGGGCCTGCCCCACCCCACATCTGCCCCACATCCTGCCCCACATCCCGCCCCCTAACCTTGGTGTCCCCGGGTGAGATGTGCTTGTAGGGCCTGCCCCACATCCCCACCCCACATCCCCACCCCACATCCTGCCCCCTAACCTTGGTGTCCCCGGGTGAGATGTGCTTGTAGGGCCCCCCCACCCCACATCTGCCCCACATCCTGCCCCACATCCCGCCCCCTAACCTTGGTGTCCCCGGGTGAGATGTGCTTGTAGGGCCTGCCCCACATCCCCACCCCACATCCCCACCCCACATCCTGCCCCCTAACCTTGGTGTCCCCGGGTGAGATGTGCTTGTAGGGCCCACTGTCCTCGTCGTCGGGGTGGGTGCTGTGGGTCCGGATGCAGTTGATGTGCCCGGGGATGATGAGCGAGAAGATTTGTTTCCCGGTCCATAGGGCGCGGGGCTTGAGCACGGCGGGTTGGGGCACCTTCCCGTCCCACGTGGACAGGAACATGAGCAGGTTCATCACCTCGCCCTATGGGGCAGACGTGTGGGGCGGAGATGTGGGGCAGAGGTGTGGGGCAGAGGTGTGGGGCAGAGGTGTGGGGCAGAGGTGTGGGGCAGAGGTGTGGGGCAGAGGTGTGGGGCAGAGGTGTGGGGCAGACGTGTGGGGCGGAGGTGTGGGGCGGAGGTGTGGGGCAGAGGTGTGGGGCAGAGGTGTGGGGCGGGAGGTGTGGGGCAGTGACCCACGGCGGGTTGGGGCACCTTCCCGTCCCACGTGGACAGGAACATGAGCAGGTTCATCACCTCGCCCTATGGGGCAGACGTGTGGGGCAGAGGTGTGGGGCGGAGGTGTGGGGCAGTGACCCACGGCGGGTTGGGGCACCTTCCCGTCCCACGTGGACAGGAACATGAGCAGGTTCATCACCTCGCCCTATGGGGCAGACGTGTGGGGTGGAGGTGTGGGGCGGATGTGTGGGGCAGGAGGTGTGGGGCGGAGGTGTGGGGCAGTGACCCACGGCGGGTTGGGGCACCTTCCCGTCCCACGTGGACAGGAACATGAGCAGGTTCATCACCTCGCCCTATGGGGCAGACGTGTGGGGTGGAGGTGTGGGGCGGATGTGTGGGGCAGGAGGTGTGGGGCGGAGGTGTGGGGCAGTGACCCACGGCGGGTTGGGGCACCTTCCCGTCCCACGTGGACAGGAACATGAGCAGGTTCATCACCTCGCCCTATGGGGCAGACGTGTGGGGCAGAGGTGTGGGGCAGACATGTGGGGCGGAGGTGTGGGGCAGTGACCCACAGCGGGTTGGGGCACCTTCCCGTCCCACGTGGACAGGAACATGAGCAGGTTCATCACCTCGCCCTATGGGGCACACATGTGGGGCGGAGGTGTGGGGCAGAGGTGTGGGGCAGTGACCCACGGCGGGTTGGGGCACCTTCCCGTCCCACGTGGACAGGAACATGAGCAGGTTCATCACCTCGCCCTATGGGGCAGACGTGTGGGGCGGAGGTGTGGGGCGGAGGTGTGGGGCAGTGACCCACGGCGGGTTGGGGCACCTTCCCGTCCCACGTGGACAGGAACATGAGCAGGTTCATCACCTCGCCCTATGGGGCACACGTGTGGGGCAGAGGTGTGGGGCGGAGGTGTGGGGCAGTGACCCACGGCGGGTTGGGGCACCTTCCCGTCCCACGTGGACAGGAACATGAGCAGGTTCATCACCTCGCCCTATGGGGCAGACATGTGGGGCGGGAGGTGTGGGGCAGAGGTGTGGGGCAGAGGTGTGGGGCAGTGACCCACGGCGGGTTGGGGCACCTTCCCGTCCCACGTGGACAGGAACATGAGCAGGTTCATCACCTCGCCCTATGGGGCAGACATGTGGGGCAGAGGTGTGGGGCGGAGGTGTGGGGCAGGAGGTGTGGGGCAGAGGTGTGGGGCAGGAGGTGTGGGGCGGAGGTGTGGGGCAGAGGTGTGGGGCAGTGACCCACAGCGGGTTGGGGCACCTTCCCGTCCCACGTGGACAGGAACATGAGCAGGTTCATCACCTCGCCCTATGGGGCAGACGTGTGGGGCGGAGGTGTGGGGCGGGAGGTGTGGGGCAGTGACCCACGGCGGGTTGGGGCACCTTCCCGTCCCACGTGGACAGGAACATGAGCAGGTTCATCACCTCGCCCTATGGGGCAGACGTGTGGGGCGGAGGTGTGGGGCGGAGGTGTGGGGCGGAGGTGTGGGGCAGAGGTGTGGGGCGGAGGTGTGGGGTGGAGGTGTGGGGCAGTGACCCACGGCGGGTTGGGGCACCTTCCCGTCCCACGTGGACAGGAACATGAGCAGGTTCATCACCTCGCCCTATGGGGCAGACGTGTGGGGTGGAGGTGTGGGGCGGATGTGTGGGGCAGGAGGTGTGGGGCGGAGGTGTGGGGCAGTGACCCACGGCGGGTTGGGGCACCTTCCCGTCCCACGTGGACAGGAACATGAGCAGGTTCATCACCTCGCCCTATGGGGCAGACGTGTGGGGCAGACGTGTGGGGCAGAGGTGTGGGGCAGTGACCCACGGCAGGTTGGGGCACCTTCCCGTCCCACGTGGACAGGAACATGAGCAGGTTCATCACCTCGCCCTATGGGGCAGACGTGTGGGGCAGAGGTGTGGGGCAGACATGTGGGGCGGAGGTGTGGGGCAGTGACCCACAGCGGGTTGGGGCACCTTCCCGTCCCACGTGGACAGGAACATGAGCAGGTTCATCACCTCGCCCTATGGGGCAGACGTGTGGGGCGGAGGTGTGGGGCAGGAGGTGTGGGGCGGAGGTGTGGGGCGGGAGGTGTGGGGTGGAGGTGTGGGGCGGAGGTGTGGGGCAGGAGGTGTGGGGCAGACGTGTGGGGTGGAGGTGTGGGGCGGAGGTGTGGGGCAGAGGTGTGGGGCGGAGGTGTGGGGCAGTGACCCACGGCGGGTTGGGGCACCTTCCCGTCCCACGTGGACAGGAACATGAGCAGGTTCATCACCTCGCCCTATGGGGCAGACGTGTGGGGCGGAGGTGTGGGGCGGGAGGTGTGGGGCGGAGGTGTGGGGCAGTGACCCACGGCGGGTTGGGGCACCTTCCCGTCCCACGTGGACAGGAACATGAGCAGGTTCATCACCTCGCCCTATGGGGCACACATGTGGGGCAGACATGTGGGGCGGAGGTGTGGGGCGGAGGTGTGGGGCAGTGACCCACGGCGGGTTGGGGCACCTTCCCGTCCCACGTGGACAGGAACATGAGCAGGTTCATCACCTCGCCCTATGGGGCACACATGTGGGGCAGACATGTGGGGCGGAGGTGTGGGGCGGAGGTGTGGGGCAGTGACCCACGGCGGGTTGGGGCACCTTCCCGTCCCACGTGGACAGGAACATGAGCAGGTTCATCACCTCGCCCTATGGGGCACACATGTGGGGCAGACATGTGGGGCGGAGGTGTGGGGCGGAGGTGTGGGGCAGTGACCCACGGCGGGTTGGGGCACCTTCCCGTCCCACGTGGACAGGAACATGAGCAGGTTCATCACCTCGCCCTATGGGGCAGACGTGTGGGGCGGAGGTGTGGGGCAGGAGGTGTGGGGCAGGAGGTGTGGGGCGGAGGTGTGGGGCAGAGGTGTGGGGCAGTGACCCATGGCGGGTTGGGGCACCTTCCCGTCCCACGTGGACAGGAACATGAGCAGGTTCATCACCTCGCCCTATGGGGCAGACGTGTGGGGCGGAGGTGTGGGGCGGAGGTGTGGGGCACACGTGTGGGGCAGAGGTGTGGGGCAGTGACCCACGGCGGGTTGGGGCACCTTCCCGTCCCACGTGGACAGGAACATGAGCAGGTTCATCACCTCGCCCTATGGGGCAGACGTGTGGGGCAGGAGGCGTGGGGCGGAGGTGTGGGGCAGAGGTGTGGGGCGGAGGTGTGGGGCGGAGGTGTGGGGCAGAGGTGTGGGGCGGAGGTGTGGGGCAGAGGTGTGGGGCAGAGGTGTGGGGCGGAGGTGTGGGGCAGAGACCCACGGCGGGTTGGGGCACCTTCCCGTCCCACGTGGACAGGAACATGAGCAGGTTCATCACCTCGCCCTATGGGGCAGACGTGTGGGGCAGAGGTGTGGGGCAGACGTGTGGGGCAGTGACCCACAGCGGGTTGGGGCACCTTCCCGTCCCACGTGGACAGGAACATGAGCAGGTTCATCACCTCGCCCTATGGGGCAGACGTGTGGGGCGGAGGTGTGGGGCGGGAGGTGTGGGGCAGAGGTGTGGGGCAGTGACCCATGGCGGGTTGGGGCACCTTCCCGTCCCACGTGGACAGGAACATGAGCAGGTTCATCACCTCACCCTATGGGGCAGACATGTGGGGCAGAGGTGTGGGGCAGAGGTGTGGGGCGGAGGTGTGGGGCAGAGGTGTGGGGCAAAGGGGGGCAGCCAGTGACCCACAGCGGGACTCGGGGACCCATGGAGACCCTTGGGTATCAAGGAGACCCCATAGGGCAGCCCAGTGGGGAACCTTCCTGTCCATCAGCCCCATAGAGCCCCATATCCACCTCATAGAGCCCCACAGCCACTCCATCACCCCACAGCACCCCATAGCGCCCCATACCCGCTGCAGGAAGACGTCCCTCTTGGTGAACTTGCGCACGGCGGTGAGCACCCATAGCCACCCCATAGAGCCCCATATCCACCCCATAGAGCCGCATAGACACTCCATCACCCCATAGAGCCCTGTATCCACCCCACATCGCCCCATAGCGCCCCATACCCGCTGTAGGAAGACGTCCCTCTTGGTGAACTTGTGCACGGCGGTGAGCACCCATAGCCACCCCACAGACACTCCATCACCCCATAGCGCCCCACATCGCCCCATACCCTCTGCAGGAAGACGTCCCTCTTGGTGAACTTGCGCACGGCGGTGAGCACCCATAGCCACCCCATAGAGCCCCATATCCACCCCATAGCCACTCCATCACCCCATAGCTCCCCATATCCACCCCATAGCCACTCCATCACCCCATAGCGCCCCATAGCGCCCCATACCCTCTGCAGGAAGACGTCCCTCTTGGTGAACTTGCGCACGGCGGTGAGCACCCATAGCCACCCATAGAGCCCCATATCCACCCCATAGCCACTCCATCACCCCACAGACACTCCATCACCCCATAGCCACTCCATCACCCCATAGCTGCCCCATAGCGCCCCATACCCGCTGGAGGAAGACGTCCCTCTTGGTGAACTTGCGCACGGCGGTGAGCACCCATAGCCACCCCATAGAGCCCCATAGCCACCCCATAGCCACTCCATCACCCCATAGCGCCCCATAGCGCCCCACATCGCCCCATAAGTGCCATACCCTCTGGAGGAAGACGTCCCTCTTGGTGAACTTGCGCACGGCGGTGAGCACCCATAGCCACCCCACAGCCACTCCATCACCCCACATCGCCCCATAGCTGCCCCATAGCACCCCATAGCGCCCCATACCCGCTGCAGGAAGACGTCCCTCTTGGTGAACTTGCGCACGGCGGTGAGCACCCATAGCCACCCCATAGAGCCCCATATCCACCCCATAGAGCCGCATAGACACTCCATCACCCCATAGCGCCCCATAGCGCCCCATACCCTCTGCAGGAAGACGTCCCTCTTGGTGAACTTGCGCACGGCGGTGAGCACCCATAGAGCCCCATATCCACCCCATAGCCACTCCATCACCCCACAGCCACTCCATCACCCCATAGCACCCCATAGCGCCCCATAGCGCCCCATACCCGCTGGAGGAAGACGTCCCTCTTGGTGAACTTGCGCACAGCGGTGAGCACCCACAGCCCCCCCATAGAGCCCCATAGCCACCCCATAGAGCCCCATATCCACCCCATAGCGCCCCATACCCTCTGGAGGAAGACGTCCCTCTTGGTGAACTTGCGCACGGCGGTGAGCGCCCATAGCCCCCCCATAGAGCCCCATATCCACCCCATAGAGCCGCATAGACACTCCATCACCCCATAGCGCCCCACATCGCCCCATACCCGCTGCAGGAAGACGTCCCTCTTGGTGAACTTGCGCACGGCGGTGAGCACCCATAGCCACCCCATAGAGCCCCATATCCACCTCACAGCCACTCCATCACCCCATAGCTCCCCATATCCACCCCATATCCACCCCATAGCTGCCCCATAGCGCCCCATAGCACCCCATAAGTGCCATACCCTCTGGAGGAAGACGTCCCTCTTGGTGAACTTGCGCACGGCGGTGAGCACCCATAGCCACCCATATCCACCCCATAGCCACTCCATCACCCCATATCCACCCCATAGCGCCCCATAAGTGCCATACCCTCTGCAGGAAGACGTCCCTCTTGGTGAACTTGCGCACGGCGGTGAGCACCCATAGCCACCCCATAGCCACTCCATCACCCCATAGCGCCCCATATCCACCCCATAGCCACTCCATCACCCCATAGCTCCGCATAGCCACCCCACAGCCACTCCATCACCCCATAGCGCCCCATAGCGCCCCATACCCTCTGGAGGAAGACGTCCCTCTTGGTGAACTTGTGCACGGCGGTGAGCACCCATAGCCACCCCATAGAGCCCCATATCCACCCCATAGCCACTCCATCACCCCATAGCGCCCCATAGCGCCCCATAAGTGCCATACCCTCTGCAGGAAGACGTCCCTCTTGGTGAACTTGCGCACGGCGGTGAGCACCCATAGCCACCCCATAGAGCCCCATATCCACCCCATAGCCACTCCATCACCCCATAGCTCCCCATATCCACCCCATAGCCACTCCATCACCCCATAGCGCCCCATAGCGCCCCATACCCTCTGCAGGAAGACGTCCCTCTTGGTGAACTTGCGCACGGCGGTGAGCACCCATAGCCACCCATAGCCACCCCATAGAGCCCCATAGCCACCCCATAGCACCCCATATCCACCCCATAGCGCCCCACATCGCCCCATACCCGCTGCAGGAAGACGTCCCTCTTGGTGAACTTGCGCACGGCGGTGAGCACCCATAGCCACCCCATAGCCACTCCATCACCCCATAGCGCCCCATAGCGCCCCATAGCTGCCCCATAGCGCCCCATAGCGCCCCATAAGTGCCATACCCGCTGCAGGAAGACGTCCCTCTTGGTGAACTTGCGCACGGCGGTGAGCACCCATAGCCACCCCATAGAGCCCCATAGCCACCCCACAGCCACTCCATCACCCCATAGCCGCCCCATAGCACCCCACATCGCCCCATAGCCGCGTACCCTCTGTAGGAAGACGTCCCTCTTGGTGAACTTGCGCACGGCGGTGAGCACCCATAGCCACCCCATAGCACCCCATAGCTGCCCCATAGCGCCCCATAGCGCCCCATATCCACCCCATAGCCACCCCATAGCACCCCACAGCGCCCCATAAGTGCCATACCCTCTGGAGGAAGACGTCCCTCTTGGTGAACTTGCGCACGGCGGTGAGCACCCATAGCCACCCCATAGAGCCCCATATCCACCCCATAGCACCCCATAGCGCCCCATAAGTGCCATACCCTCTGTAGGAAGACGTCCCTCTTGGTGAACTTGCGCACGGCGGTGAGCACCCATAGCCACCCCATAGAGCCCCATATCCACCCCATAGCACCCCATAGCGCCCCATAAGTGCCATACCCGCTGCAGGAAGACGTCCCTCTTGGTGAACTTGCGCACGGCGGTGAGCACCCATAGCCACCCCATAGAGCCCCATATCCACCCCACAGCCACTCCATCACCCCATAGCACCCCATAGCTGCCCCATAGTGCCCCATAGCGCCCCATAGCTGCGTACCCTCTGGAGGAAGACGTCCCTCTTGGTGAACTTGCGCACGGCGGTGAGCACCCATAGCCACCCCATAGAGCCCCATATCCACCCCATAGACACTCCATCACCCCATAGCCGCCCCACAGCGCCCCATAGCGCCCCATACCCTCTGTAGGAAGACGTCCCTCTTGGTGAACTTGCGCACGGCGGTGAGCACCCATAGCCACCCCATAGAGCCCCATATCCACCCCATAGCGCCCCATAGCGCCCCATACCCGCTGCAGGAAGACGTCCCTCTTGGTGAACTTGCGCACGGCGGTGAGCGTGTCCTGCACGATGCCCATGACGGGCCGGTTGGCCTGCGGGGTCACGATCATGCGCGGCACCATGGCGAGCTCCTGGATCTCCGCCCGCGTCTCCAGCGACTGCGGCAGGTGCAGGTTCATCTCGTCGCCGTCAAAGTCCGCGTTGTACGGGGTCGTCACGCTGCAAATGGGGGGGGAATGACGGGGGGTGTGGGGCTGGGGATGTGGGGCACGGGGTGTGGGGTATGGGGGTATGGGGCTGGGGATGTGGGGCTGGGGATGTGGGGAACAGGGTGTGGGGCAGGGGGTGTGGGGCTGGGGATGTGGGGTACAGGGTGTGGGGCAGGGGGTGTGGGGGTGGGGATGAGGGGCAGGGGGTATGGGGCAGGGGGTGGGGATGTGGGGTAGGGGAGGTGGGGCAGGGGGTATGGGGCAGGGGAGGTGGGGTAGGGGGTATGGGGCTGGGGATGTGGGGCAGGGGGTATGGGGCAGGGGGT